TATGTGTCCCCCTCCCTGTTCTTTTGCTTTGTTCTCCCCTGCAAGTTAAATGAAGGATACACAATATGCAAGAATCCGATGCACTGCCTCTAAGTATGACTCTCCAGGATGTGCAATTGAAATTTATTGACAGGTTGCATTGGTATGAAGAGTTCTACGATGTGTTTGATGGTGAAAGTCCTGTGCAGATAGAAAAAACCTGTTTTAACATTTAGCTTTCTTTTCAGTTATTTGATATTAGATTATTCCTTCGAATGCCAATGTTGCACGGCTGTGAAAAGTGAAACGGCAATCAAGTGGCCCTACCTCTTTATCAGTAGCCTCACAATAGCCAAGAATGAGTAGTTTTTGAAATTATGTAATGTCCTCTATTGGTAACAGTGAACAGATGTTAACTGTATTTCCTTATGTGAAATTTGCTGTTGTCTGATAGCTTTCGAGGGTCATGCAGCACATAGTAAATAAAGAAGCAACCTGTGTATTCTTAGATCCTTACATTTTATTTTAAAACACAAAATTTCATATTAACAACTACTTTTGAACAGAAGGATGCATTAATTAAATGCCTGGTCATAACAGTTATAAGCTCTGTTAAAAAAATAAACATCTCACAACAATCTACAGTGTCAGCTCTTTAATAAATACATGAAACAGAAGTTAGTAGTCAGTCAAGAGTTGTGTGAGCAGGTTCATAGTATATTACGTGAAATTACTATTTTCTCAACCTTCTGTATCATTTAAGGCAATTTAACTATATGTATAACCCAAAACCAGAAATAATATGAAACATGTTCAGGAAGAATTTACTTCTTTCTTAGAGCTATTTCATATTCAAATATTTTAATTTAAAAATACATTCTATATTAATCTTTTTACAAAGGCAGTACATGTTATGTGAGACACCATAAGATTATGTTACTGATAATTTAAAAACATTTGCAATTTTTTGCAGAAGTTTAAAAACCTTAGTAAAGTAGCAGATACATGTAAAATAATTTTAAAAGTATGTTAAATATACATAAATGAATTTCTATATTAATATGTGCAAACTTGTATTTTCTTATAATTTAGAATGAAAATATTCTATATTCAATAATTTTTAATAAAATCTATATACCATACTTATCATTAAGTTGGAATCTTATCAAAATCACATTTGTCTGTTGGATAGTGTAAAGTTAATAAATTCTTTATATAAATCACATATTTTCAATTCTTGATGATTACAGTTTTCTTAATACTATTGTATTAGACAATTTTAACTGAAGTTGGTTATAAAGGCTAGAAACCTGATCAATAGAATTAACTTACAAAGATAAATTTTGTGCAGAAAAATATTTCAGGTAGATTAAGAGTAGTGTTATTACTTTCAGGTATTTCAATAAAAGCTGCCAGGAAAGCTGAACAATTGTTTTGCATAATGAAAATAATTTAAATATGTGATTTTACAACAGTCATTACACGGGTTTGAAAGAAAATCATCAAAAGAACAGAATGAATGAAGAGGAAAAAAAAGTAGGAAAACTGGAAAATTATTTTCTACAAGGCTGATTTGTTATATCGTATTTTTCTACTGCCATTAAAACAAGAAATATAAGATGCTAAAACATTTAATTACGATGATTTCATGGGATATTTTTCCAGTTAACTTTATTTGACTGTGTGAGGATCTTATAAAAATTCCTTACGATTAGAAAGAATAAAAATTTGTTAGCAAAAGTTGGAGAAATCAATCTACCTATTCTTTTTTTTTTCTTCAATTTTTTTTATTTATTTGGTACAGGGTCTCACTATACAGGTGTGTACCACCACGCCCAGTTTTGTTGGCCTGCACATCGTGCCCGGGGTTCCAGGGAGCAAACTTGGGTCCTTGTGCTTGCCAGATAGGCACTTAGACCGCTGTACTATTTCCCCAGCCGCAACTCACCCATTCTTGTCACTTAAGTCGTGCTGGCGGAAATCATCATTCACCACATAAAACATAAATAAGAGTCCTTTGAGGCTTTGAGTTTTTGCAAGTTAAATATATGCAGGATCAGAGCTGATAATAGGAAAGTTAGGCTTCATATTGAACTGTACATAATTCAATTGTACTGAAAATTTGAATCACATGACATGATAAATGAACTGACAAACATTTACAAGAAAAGGAATATTTCAATACTCAGGAATGTTTAAAGGTGAATGAGTGTAATATTTATTCAAAACTATTTTAAACACTGCACCTGAGGTGCTGACATCACAATTTCAGGGGATGTTACAACCTTAGAATTGTTAATTGAAAATTTTTGTATATTAAGATCAGTGAGACACAGACGGATGTGGATAGCCAATTACACATAATAAATTTGCTATGGAGGAATTATAAGAGAAAAACTAAGTGATCTGAGAGCAGGCTAGTTCTATATTCCTTTGAAAAGATTTGCATTGTATTAAGTGGGGATTAAGGTCAATTTAGATAAATATAGTTATAACCTAAACATTTAGGTTATATAGGTTATTTAGGTTATATAGGTTATACAGGTTATTTAGGTTATTTAGGTTATATATATATAACCTAAACATTTTATTTGCTCTTGCAAATAAAAGAATGTAATATGCATTAATTGTGTGCTTAAGTAACTGAAGTCCATTTTCTACACTTACGACAACACATATGTTGTGAATCTTTAAGTTTCACAAGAAGCTTGGAGAGTTGTAAAAATTTCAAATTCGTAGTTTTATTGAGTCTGTCTCTGTGTAGGGCATAGACTCAAATGAATATTACAATCAGTAAGGGATTTTTGTAAATGAAGAATTACCTTCACATTGTTATTTTTCACAATTAGGCTTATTGACCTTGAAGTTTTAGGGATATCTCTTGAGAAATAATAAAAGGATGAAAACAAGTCAGGAAAGTAGGGAAAAGCCTGTAAGTTTAATCTAGTCTACAGGTACCAGGAAGAGGAGGAAAACGCTACGGAGTAAAAATTTCAAAGTGTAGCATAAAATATTTCAGTGTCTCATAGATGCCTGCTTGTATATATAAAATATCTTCAGTGGAAATAAAGTATTTTAAATATTTGATATTTATTCTTTGGTTAAATTGTTCTGATGTATCCACTATTTTTAATTTCTTGGAATTCTGAAATATTTGTCTCCAGAAATATCTAGATTATTTTGTGATATTGATAAACCAAATCTAAATCAAACATTTGTGATATAATCAGATTTTTAGTCAGTTTTAAAGTTTTCTAAAGAATGTCTATGGCCTAATAAATATCAGCAATTTTCCAAAAATATATCAGATATGTATAAACAGATGTGTCCTACAGTGTAAAGGTGTTCCAGAGAAATCAGTCTCATACAGTTATGTTGTAGTGTACATATGGCATATTTCTTATTAATCATTAACAGATTTTAGGGCACAAACATGATACTGTACCAAGATGTTTTTCAAGTTTCTAATTTTGTTAGCAGGTTAAAACTGCATTCATTGTATTTAATATCCATAAATCTCAAAAGGCTCCTGTGGTCAGAGTAGCTGAAAATAGAGTCTATTTACATAAGTTAAGTAATCTAAGAATACCCTGTTTCCCCTTACCTTTTAATTAATTATAACTAGTCAAATATTATTTTCTCACAAACCATTACACAGAAAAATATCAATTATTCAAGTAAGATATAAGCCCTAAAATGTTTATGAATTAGCTTTCTTAAGTTAAAAAGAGAAAAGCACAAGACACCCCAAGCATAGCTACAATCATCACACAGCACTGAATTCCCTATAAGGAGGTCTGCTTCTTTCTCTGATAACAGCCTTGGTCCATTTTGAAGTTAGTGCAAATTAGTGAGGGTTTAAAATATATAATCTGTAATTTTTATAGGATCATTTCAGTACATTGTTTTGCTCATTCTTCCTACTAATTCCTTGTTCATAGGCACTGTAATGTTAACTTTTAAACTGCCAGCATTTTTAATAATAGACCTCTTTAATTTTTTGTTTTGGTGGGTTCTCAGGCATCCGTTCATTTGTGTATTCATAAAAGGATGCTTATATGCATGAGGCTACAAAATGCAATGTCTACATCATCATAAGTAACCAAAGATTTTTTACACAAGTTCACACTACAGGAATAAGTCCATGTCCCCAACCACTCATTTGGGGAAGGGGGTTTCTTCAATTTAGCATCATCATAGCTGCTAGCTACGGAGAACAGTTAATGGGGCTGTTGCGTTCATTAGCTTCAGAACAACTTACTTCACGTTCGGCTCTCTCTAGGGAGAACACAGGATGGAGATTAGCTTTCATCTAGGACTTTCACTCAACTGCTGAAAGACAGAAGATCTGGGAAGTTATTTTTAAGAAGAAATGTAAAATAATTTCCTTTGCTGCCTTACATAAAACTGTGCTTCACACAAGACCGCTGCATTGTTAGTCAATAAACTCATCCTGAATAGGTCTTTAGGGGTGTGGTAGAGGAAGTCTTCTTTCGAGAAATTAGGGTTCACATGACTTCCTAGCAAAGTCTGGAATTGAGCAGAGCACAACCCCAGGGGGTGCTGTTCATAGGGCACAGTGTGAAGAGATTACCCTGTGTTATGCTGTGCTGCTAATGAGCAGAAAAGATTTGAAGTCAATTACAGACAGTTTAGTTTGGATTGTTCTTCTCTACTTTGCTTTGAAATTTTCTCATACACATTTACTTACAACTTCAGCAAATCACGTTCAAAAATTTTGCCAACTGAGTCCTGTAAAGATTCGAGAGGTAGCATGCTATGGTGCAGTGAGTACTGGCTTGCAATCAGAAGACATAAATGCTTAACCTAATGCTGCCATTTCATCACCTATTTCTTTGAGAATCATTTCAATGTACTAAGCTTCAGTTCTCCTGTAAGGGAAAACCAGCTTATTTCTAGGCATCACCTTTCCTTCTTCAATGTTACACTTTTATGAAATCTGATAGGTCAGGATAGGGTAAGTGCAGAGAAAGAATATCTTTAGGTTGCACTGATCCTTGGAGCAAATCTTAGGAAACTCATTCACAGGTGGGAGACTGTACTTGAGGCAGTTTCTTCCTGTCTTGTAAATTTCAATTTACATATCAGACTCATGAAATGATGAAATAATCCATCCAGTTTACCAGGTAAGAACATACCACATCTATAATACCAAAGCTCTTCAGGTTTGGATGATACTTTACAGTGTCCTTTGATAACATTCAATGTGTAACACCAGTTATTCTAATAAAGTGACATTGTATTACAGGTTTATGGCAGTAGTACCTTAGCACTTATTTAATCCAGTCATCTGTGACATATATAAACTTATCCTGAAAGGAAGGAAGACAAAGTATAAATGCAAAGAGGAGAGATTGTTGGAATTAGCATCCATTTTGTAAGAAGAACACATAAACACATGCATCAAACCACATACTTTCACAAGCAATATCCCTTAACATGAAGATATCATCTGGTCAACCCCTGAACGAGCGAGTCCAGCGTTCTTGGCTAATCACAGCCAGTAGTTGAAGGGTTTGGCAATTCTCATACGTAACCGCCGGGCTATTTTTTCAGCCACGTGTTCAGGGCAGGGATTGCTGCTGCACCCGTGCAGTGACACAGTACTAACCTGGCCGAGAACATTGTGTCCCTCCGGGAAGCGCGGGAATGGCAGGTACCTGTAAAGTGTAATCAGTGCCCTTCAGATGACCTACATTCTATGCTGATCTAAATAAGTTATATATTACAGTAAAGTGCTACATGACACTAGTCTCCAAACAGTAGTAAGACACATTTTTTTTTTCTCAGAATAATTCAGCAGCTATGAGAGTCACACGGCAATGAGGATGCGTGTCGATCTGCACTCAAATATACAACCAGCCATGGGCGCGACCTTGAACGATTTGTTTCCTCCTGTGACTTTTATGCTTAATATTTTTTAGGAGCGATTATTTAAAAATCCAGTTTCTCACAAAGTATTTTTAAAGGTTTCTTTTAGAAGTTGCACCTGAAAGTCTCATGAGCGTTTAATTTGTTGATATCCATTTTTATTTGTTCAGGCTTCTCACGTCGGTAGGTGACGGCTCTTGTGCAAACACTCTGCAGAATCAATTTATCCTTGATGGAGAAGAAATATTATTATTAATTCAAGGCCAAAATACTGCTAGACACTAACACACTGGTAGGAATCCTTTTTTGGAATTCACTGACCTTTTTTGAGCTGGATGGTCTGTAATCTGACGAGGACTTGACTTTACTACTGTTCCACTGTAGGATCACCTGCCTTATGATCAGGACTTTAAGCAATCCGATCAAAAAAGTGACTATGAATATGATAAAGAATATTCTTAAGTAACTTGGGCTGGATAAACATTCTGCAGTAAAACAAGACAAACATATTTAAAAATCAAAATGAATAAAGTCAAAGGATTCCATCGAGTAAATTACATTCACGTTTCAATTTACAAATCTGTAGTTTCAAAATAGAAGACTAATCTTTATTGCACAATATCATTAAAATATTTTCCATATATAACCTTCCTTTGGAAAATAGCTAGAATTAGAGTATTTAATAGCATTATTTTTTCAGTTTGATCCTATAATTGTATCAGTTGGAGTATGTCTAAGTTCTTTATTCAAATATAATTTTATCCATAATAGAGTAAGGCCTGTTTCTTGTGCCGTGTACTGTTGAGCATTACGCGGAAAATAGGATTTAAAAAAACTATTTAATAACTCTGGGCATTAGCATATGTATTGACTGTGATGCTGTCTCTTCATCTGCTTCACACCAGTAATGGAAAATAGAGTAACCAGCTGCAGAAGCTAAAAGCAGTTATCACTCTAATAGATGAACAAATATTTCCTCTGAAACTGCAACATAAGAATTCACCACTACCACACATGGCTTCTGCAGGAAATAGGAGTGTCCAGTTGGGACAATACACAGATCTCTTTTTTTATTAGTCTACACTTTAGTTCTCTTAGCCAAATCTATGTGCTTCTAAGATTAATTATGTATTTTTCCAAAAACAAGTAATTACTAGCTGGAAAAACAATGTTGTGTTAAGAGGAGGAGCATGTTAGCTCTCTGTGTTAGCACCAGTCCTTTGGCAAGCTCTCGCTGGAAAATATGCAGGCTCTGTTGTTGCCAGAGGTATCACTCTACTCTAAGAGGAATAGCCTTGCATAATAGCAAGTATTCCACAGAACACAGCTGCCCCAAATTTGCCCAATCACTTCCTGACCTAAAGAAGCATGTGTTCCTCTGCCCATTCAGCGGACTTTGGGAACTTCATTGTAACGTTGGTCTCCCTGGAGACTGAGAGGACTTGTCAAGGCTGGGAACAGTGCATGATCCAGTCAGAGGTGCTGTGGGTCTGGATTTGTAGTGACAGCCAAATATGCTTTTGAGGAGGGAAAGGACTCAGTGACAGGGGCAAGGGGTCCTGTTCCACAGAGCTCACCTTTTTAAGGTCAATAAGGGACTTTCAAAAGAAGGTCAAAGGCAGACTCTTGGGCTATTTATTAATATGGAAATGCGAGACTCAGATACAAGTTTCCATTGTTACAAATCTCAGGGAGACAGAATCCAAGATGCTGTGTTCAAAAGGAGGCCTTTGAACTCTGCACAGTCACCTTCCAATTAATGACCCTGTGGCCATGTGTGTGGACACACCGTGATTTTCCTCGGCTGATTCAGGCCCCTTGGTGCTAAGGCAGCTTCTCCTAAGGGCACGTGCCTTTCTGGCTCTTGTCCAGGTAGAAGCTTAGCCAGCGAGAATGAAAGCCCCTTTAAGTGTTCCTGAGTGGGTAGATAACAGAGGTGCCGAAGAAATGCCCTTTCCCTCTTCTTGCACAGTGGTTGTCAAATGGGGGAGAGGGGAAAGTCCTCTAGCTATTGAGATATTTCAGATGTATTTCTCACAAGTTAAAGCAGAGGACAGTTGCAGGGCTTAAATCTGCATTCATCTTAAAACGCTGTCACGGATTGGTGAACATTTATCCCTGACCCATGCTTTTCTTAGTTTAGGTCAGGTCAGGGCTTTTTCTAGAGATTTAAGGGAACACTATTTGTAACAACACTTAAGTCACAGTAATGCTTACCCAACATAATAAATGACATGTTCATCATGAGGGCCCTATTTATTAGGAAGGCAGTTGGCTTTCTGGAGGGACTGCTGTAGGCCCAGCTGGCAGCACATGGGGCTCTTTTGAGAGCCAAATTCATTAGGGGCTAAGATTCATGTAGATGTGAAAGAGAAAGAAAGCAAAGCTCGAGAGAAAGCTTGTTCTTCTCTGCAGCCTCGTTTACTGCCTTTGGTACTGTTTTCTTTCAGAGATGAGGAAACTGATGCTTAGGGAAATTTGTAGGAGGGCAGTATTTCCTAACTAATAATTCTAAGGGCTTTAGGCCAAGGTCCTCAGATGAAAAGTTCCAGTCCTTTCCATTATGACACAGTTCTATTCACCCTGAGCTCTATTTATATGAGAACGAGAAGTTCAGGAACGCTCTTTTGAAGTTACCTATATTGTAAAAGCACACCATTGTTGCTTAGAACTTTACGGCCTCACCTGAAGTAGGAAGCAAATATTGAAATATGAGAGCAAATATGGATTCAATATAAGGACTGTCAGAACCAGAGGCAAGTTTGGGTCGTGTAGGCAAACGGTGGCTCCACAGAGCCTCCCTCTCCAAGGGAAATGCATCTACATGGGGAGCCCATACTTTGGGCTTCTCTGAGGCCTTTCTAGGCAGGTCATCAGGGGCCTCTCCATAGAGGTGCTTAGCATGGAAAGACAGCTGTAAAGAGGAGGAAGGAAACCTAACTAGTCAAGAATTCATTCAAACAAATAAACTATAAAGGCACTCAACTGCATAGATGAACAGTGCGGCTTTTGTGCGTCTATGAAACCTCAACAAAGCTGTGTAAAAGGTAAAACAGAGCTTCAAAGCAAAACCCGAATCAAAGCCATTAAGCCTTCCTTTAGGGCCTTTTACAGAGCGTGGTCCTAACACATCCTGTACGCTTGGAGCGTGAATGTCAGGCTCACCTGATGTCTGGTCAACGTATCGCTGATCCACGAGAGCACACGAGGTTTTACACTGCGCAAGGATAGCTTGGGACAGATTGTGGGGGTTCAGGCATTGCATACAATTCCTGTGAGGAGGAATAGACATCATTTATTCTTTAATAATCTGATAGGCTCTAATGTGTTTTATGGAGCAATGCAACTAACAATTTAATCTAAATTTTGATAAAGTGGCTTAGAAAAAAAAATCATGCCATTATTTTGAAATATTGCATTTCTAAATGACCTAAATTTCTATACACAACTTTTAAATCTTGCTATGTGAGGAAGTAAATGTTTTAAAAATCTAAATAAAATAAATTGGAAGGTATAGTGATGTTTACATAGGTGGTCTCTGAGCAAGTCTGAAATTGTTACTGGAAAAATATTAGTGTAAAACAACAATGTGACCTTCCTTTATTTTTAAATTTGTTTTTAATTTTTAATTTTTTGGTGCAGGGTCTCGCTATGCAGCTCAGACTTGTAGTGATCCTCCTGTCTCTGCTTCCCCAGCACTAGAATTACAGGTGTACACCACCATGTCTGATTTTAGGGCAGGCTTGATAAGCCTGGGGTTCTGGGGCCGGCAATGGCATGCGGTACCAGGCATCGAACCTGGGTCATTGTGCTTGCCAGGCAGGCGCTTAGACTGCCGGGCTATCTCCCCAGCTCATGTGTCATCTTTTTATGTATCATATTTTTAATTAATTGACTTTTTTGTATCATGTTTTTACACCACTTCATAGCCACTATCATCTTTTTTTTTTTTTTTTTTTTTTTCTTTCTTTCTTTCTTTCTTTCTTTCTTTTTTTTTTTTTTTTTATTTAGTAAAGGATCTATAGGGTCTCACTACACAGATTGGACTCATAGTTATCTCCTGTTTTCAGACTCCCAAGAGCTGGGATCACAGGTGTGCACCACCATGCCCAGTCTCAACCTTGTCTCAGCACTCCCCGGGGGCAGGGCTGGCATGGCAGGCTGGGGATCAAACCCCAGTCCCTGTGTGTGCCCAAACAAGTGCTTTAATCAGCTGAGCTATCTGGCTGGCCTTCCACCACCATCATTTTTTAATCATGGTAAAAGTCAAAACACAATAATAGGTTCTAACATTTATTCAGTGATTTCCTTATACTGGAAATGATTTTAGTCCAGTCATTCATTTCTTTCATAGAACTCAGGGAATTGTTGGTTTCCTCACTCTCTACATCAGTAAATGAAGGCACAGAGGATTCCTTCATTTGTGCACGTTCGGCATGCAGAATGATCACAA